GTTCTTTAAGTCAAATTCTTCAATAAATCCAAAAATGATCAAAGTACCAAAAAAGACAAAACACAAAGAAGTATCGTCATCACCAAGTTCTCTAAGCCTATCATTTTCTAATATTAGTGATCTTTGAAGTAACTTTTCCTCTGTTCTCTTTATTTTATATCATTCTTCTTCATCTCAATATTGCCCTTTTTTCAATTTCTGATCAATTTGACCATCCTACATTGGAAACAATGTGTTATAAATACATGTACGCCAGCCTAAAGGATGAAATTATCCTTCAGCCAATATTATTGTTGTTGGTTACTTTGATACTCATCACACTGAATAGCTCGGCTCTAGTTTCACTGACTCTGCAGTCATTAAAGCCCAAAACTTATCTCCTAACTTAAGCCTATCTCAATCGTTAACATAAATAGTCAACTTGCCATTTCATTTTCCAGACAATCCAAATTATTTACCTTCTTTAATTGACTTATGTCTTGTTTCTGATCCTAGTCTGTGGTCAGTTCTCAGTTCCAAGCTTGAAAAGGATCTCACTTCTGCTACAGCATGAGACTCTCATTGGCCGGTGAACTTTAACTCAGATAAAACTCATTTTTTTTTCAGCTAATTGTTATTGCAACAATCAAGATCTTCCAATATTTATCAATGGTAATGTACTTGATGAGTCATCTACTCTTCGTCTTCTAGGATTAACTCTTACTTTCTATCTTTCTTGGAAACCATATATCCAGTTTATTGCAAAATTAGCATTAGCTAAGGTTGCATTTTTTTATTGTTTCCGCCAATTTCTCACTGCGGTTTCTATTTTTTATCTCTATAAATCTCTAAGTGGGAAGAGGGAAAGAGGGGAAGGGGAGAAGAGGGTGTGTGTGTGGCAGTTATCCTAATAAGCTTGAAGTGGGTAGGAATATTTTCAGAAAACTAATAAACTTACTCTACCTTCTATTGATCATGTGAGAATATGTTTGTAAATTTTTATATATTGTTAAAACAATATGTAATACACTCCATTTGCATACTATCACTATTCTATATCACTAACATTTATAATGATTTATTAATCTCTTTTTTTTCTATAATAAATTTTACAGATTTTTTATAGGATATGCCTGTTCCTGGAAACAAGTTTTATGAACAAAATAAATATTCTGGATCTAGTGAAGTACAAAGAAATTGCATTATTAGTTCAACTAGCAACAATGTTCTTAAATTTGATGATAAAACTGGCGTTGCAGCAGATAATCAAGAGCATGCTCAAGTTGAATCTTTTATAGAAACAAGTGCTCCTTTAGATAAAGATAAAGCTTTGGTAAGTGTAGTTATAATTTTCTTTTCATCATTTTAAAAATATTTTGTATTAAGTATGTTTGTTAATTTGTATAAATTGTTACAACAGTTAGTGGTACATGGTATTTAAGTATATTTTTTACTGACATTATTAAATTTTGTCGTGTATAAAATGTGGGATCAAAATCAAGATCAAAAAGTGTTTACATATTCATTTATCTCTTTTTTCTCTAAAATGATTAGTAAAAATTATTTTTAGGATATACTTGTTGTCCAAGATAAGTGTCATGAACAAAACAAATATTCTGCTTCTAGTGCAGTACAAAGTTGTTGCATTATTAGTTCAACTAGCAACAATGTTTTTAAATTTGATGATAAAACCGGTGTTGCTGAAAGTAATCAATTGCACGTTCTTGATGAATCAAATGCTCTTTTAAAGAAAGACAAAGCTTTGGTAAGTGTAATTTTGGTTTTGATAATTTTTTTTTTGATGTTATGTAAAAAAGTTTGTATGGTTGGAGATTTTTTAAAAACATAAAACATAAAACAATTTAATTATAATGTGGTTTTTGATCAAATGTGCATTTTAAAGCAGATTTGATCCTTACCACATCACCACCATGTCCCTGGTAGTACCCCACTAAACTTGTTTTTCTGCATAGCAGCTTTGTTCATTATTCAGAGTTATAGAGTTGAGACAACTTTGTAACCACAACAGTAGCTTCTTTGACTGTACTGGCCTTTATGGCTTTAGGGAGGTGAATTAAAATACATGTATATATATAGAAAAAACTGATTTATCATAGTTTCAATTGGATTTAATATAGTTATTTAAGTTTTATAATATGGAAAGAAATAAGTCAAAATCTTATTTTCGACAAATCAAAATTCACAAGATTTTGTTTATAGGTTAACGATTTTTGAAGCCTGAACTCTAGAAGCTTTTATTTTTATCAGTGATAAGAATACGCTAATTTTTTTTTTGTTTTAAGATTTATTTCCTTAGTTAATAACAAGTAAAAATAAATTTACTGATAGAATGGGGCGGGGAGAAGGGGAGGAGGTGATTATAAGCTTGGGGTAGGGAGGAAATTATTCAGAAAAATAAATAAACTTACTCTATTATCTATTAGGCTTGTGAGAGTTAAGTCACCAAGTAAATTTTGTAATTTTCTATACAGTGTTTTAACAGTACATGCTATCATTGTGCTGTTCTTGTGAATCACTTACCAACATTGATAAGCTTTGTAGTGTATAAAATGTAGGATCAAAATCAAGGTCAAAAAAGTTTACATATACATTTTTTTATCTCTTTATTTTCCAAAATAAAGATTACAATTCTTTTATAGGATATGCCGATAGCTGAAGATAAGCGCCAAGATAAACAAAATAAAAATTCTGCATTTGGTGCAATACAAAGTAATTGCATTTATAGTTCAACTAGCAACAATATTTTTAAATTTGATGATAAAACATGTGTTGCTGAAAGTAATCAAGAGCATTTTCAAAAATAATCTTTTATAGAAACAAGTGGTCTTCTAGAAAAAGACAAAGCTTTTGTACAATATTAGCCTCTATAAATTCTCAAAAATTGTATATACAAAAACTAGAAAAATATTTTGTGGAAAAAAAATTTTTTTCCCGCAAAAAATAAAGGGTCCGCAGACAGGCCCAGCATAGGGCCCTGTTTTAGAATGCGAACCATGGTTTTTTTAGTAGTTATATAAAAACAGTTAATGTTTGTGAAGACCATATTTTTACATTAAAAAAAACAATACATGCAAAACAACACGTTTGTTTATTTACAAATGTAAATGAATAAACATGTCAATTATGATTAATTTAATTCAATTGATGTGTATGTATATATATATATATATATAATATATATATATATATATATATATATATATATATATATATATATATATGCATATACATATCCATATACATATACATATACATATACATATACATATCCATATACATATACATATACATATACATATACATATACATATACATATACATATACATATACATATACATATATATATATATATATATATATATATATATATATATATATATATATATATATATATATATATATATATATATATATATATATATATATATATATATATATATATATATATATATATACTTATCAATCAAATTAAATTAATCATGATTGACATGTTTATTCATTTACAATTGTAAATGAATAAAACGAGTTGTTTTGCATGTATTGTTTTTTTTAATGTAAAAATATGGTCTTCACAAACATTAGCTGTTTTTATATAACTACTAAAAAAACCAGTTAAATCTTTTTTTTAGCAGTCATAATTTTTTTGTCTTGCAATAGTTTATTTTAGTTGTCCTTTTTGATGATTGTAAACAAGTTTAATATAGCTTTTTGAGAATGTACTCTTAATTATACAAAAGCAATCAAACAGGAAGAAACTGCTTCCAATATTATAAAGATATAATAATATAATAGTAATCAATAAAAAATTTAATTGTATTTCGAATAATCAAAGATTTAATGCAGTTTTTCGGAAATAAATCATAATCGCAGAAGACAATACAAAAAATGTTGTTTCAATGTCAGAAATATTAATTTTTTACATCTAAAAGAATCCTATGTACATATATATATATATATATATATATATATATATATATATATATATATATATATATATATATATATGTATATATATATATATATATATATATATATATATATATATATATATATATATATATATATATATATATATATATATATATATATATATGTATATATCTTATACTGCTGATTAAGGTGAGCAGTGTGACATCATGCTGAAATAGCCTGCTACCAGGGACTTCAATACATACATCGACTGACAAATAGCCTGACTCGCAGCAGGGTGCTGCTACATCGACTGGGGGTTTGGGGTGGGATAGCAATTTTTTTATTCATTATTCTTCATTTTTTCTTCTTTTTCTAAAAAAGTCGTACTGATTTAGATAAACAAAAAAAGTGGCCAAATGCTTACATAAATATGCTTTAATATATATATATATATATATATATATATATATATATATATATATATATATATATATATATATATATATATATATACAGGCCTTGTTAAGAAGCGTTACGCAGCTCGCATTTTGCCTGCGAAAAGGCGATTTGCCTACGCGTTCAGCAGTTATGCGTTCAGCAAAAACTTTTATCTTTAAGAATATTTAAATTATCTTTTTATATCGTTTATGTGACGTTCATTCAGAAGTATTAAAGTCGTAAGTAAAAGCATTTAACCGCAATTGTAAACTAATAGATTTTTTGTTAAAGAAACAATTTGTTTAATAATTTTTTTTTTTTGTTTTTAAAAATTACTTAAAGAAAATAAAGTGTTTTAAGTTTAAACTTTTCATCATATTTAATTTTAAATATTAGATTTCATAAGTTTATAAACAATCAAATTTAAAAAAAGAAATATTTTCAATTTATTTTAAAATTTAAATATTTTTTTAATAATTATAGTTTTTAGTAAACAAATTTATTAAATTTAATTAAAATTCTTTCATTAATTAAATGTAAGAATTTTAATTAAAATTTTAATTAAAACTTGAATTAAATTTATCAAATTTTTTTTTACTTTAGTAATTTTTTTTATAAAATTACTAAAGTAAAAAAAGATTTGATAAATTTAATTCAAGTTACTTTAAAATGTTCGTATTACATATAATTTTATTTTAATTTTAGTTAAGTTTCAGGTAAGTTCCAAATACTGGTCTGAAAGATGCGCTTACAAAAGCGCATTATTTTCCAGTTTTTATTTTTCCATTATTTTACAGTTTCATTCATTATTTACAGAAGCGCATTATTCATTTTATAACTACAAGTTAATAAATGACGTCAGTACTTTTAAACTCGAGTTATAAATGTTATGTTTGGGTTTTCCCTTTGCCGTTTGCCAAAGAATTTTTTTTTATAAAACAAACCAAGGACGTATTAACAATACGTCCTTGAACAAACTAAAATACAAACCTATTAAAAATAACGTGATCAGTAAATAAACTCTTTAAAAACCCAACTTATCTTTATTTTATTTTAAAAACAAAACTAGTACTTGAGCTATAAATATAAGATACATAAATTTCAAAATTTTTATAAATATTTGTTAAAAACAAATTCTGCTTATAACATCTGAAAACCAAAAACACAATTTTTTTTTGGATTGAGAAAAAAAATATTAGGTTTCACTGTACATAAAAATAAAATAGTTTAATGGAAATAAAAAAAAACAAAGTCGAAAAAGCAGTAAATTTCGTTTCTTTACAACATTTATTTTATCAAAACAAACGTTTTTTTTAAAAGGGAAAACCCAATCTATGCGTTTAGTTATAAGTACATTTAAATCCCTTTAAGAAAATCAACCATATACAAGTGTTAAATTTAAATTATTTAAAAAAAAAAATTAAAAAAAAAACAACCTTAAAACGAATGTTTAAAAGCAAAAAAATTAAGTTTAAATAAGTATAAGATTTTAATACAAGAAGACTTTTTTTTAACCAACATTGAATTTTTTTTTTTTTTATAACAACATTGTACAATTTAAAGCTATTTCGTTTCAAAGACTAACAATAGTTTTTAATGTCATTTTAAATTTAATTACAATGAAGTAAAAACGCAACTGACGTAAATTAACTTTTAACAATGTAAATATCTTTATTGAGTAAAGTTACTTTTATTCACGTTCAGCTTTTCCGTTACGCAGCGAAATCTCGTAACAAGGCCTGTATATATATATATATATATATATATATATATATATATATATATATATATATATATGTATGTATATAGAGTTGACTCTTGCTATCTAGACTTCTCAATATCGTATACCTCTCAAGGACCTTTTTTCATAATCTATTCTAAGTTGGGCATCCAAAATCTTTAATCTGCTATAAATAAATCTGCCATCATTCATGATGTAGCACAAAATCGATTGTTAAATATTTTTATACTGACTAAAACTTGGATAAAGCCAGACAATCCTGCTGCAGTTCAAGAAGATATGGTACCACCAGGTTTCAAAACAATTCAATACTGCTGATCTGACCATTGTGAGGGAGGCATTGCAATAATGTGCAGAGAGAACTTAAATATTAAACCTTTATTATTATCATCTACTTGCCTGTCCTATGAACGTGCATCTGCTAAACTAAATTTAACAAATATTATTTACAATGTTGTTGCTATCTATCAATAGTATCTAATCATTCTGACTAGCATTTTCATTTTTAAATTCTCTGATCTTCTAGATAAACTTCAAACATTGTCTGGAGAAATGTTTCTGCGCTACTTCATTTATCAATTCAATTATTCAATTATTCAATTATTTTTCTTTAATTATTATTCAATTATTTTTAAATTTTTTTATATCAAAT